GGTCATATGAATGTCGATCACTCAAATTACATAGTAAAAAATTTACCCCCTGATCTGCATGACAAATCGTGTGACTGTTAAATATAATATTTACTTTTTTACTTGATGTTACTTTTAATACCAAATTCAAAAAAAAATGAAAGAATGTAATCGTTGTTATCTCAATAAGCCCAATGAAGCTTTCAAAAGTGCAAATAAAAAAAGTTCTAAAGAAATAAAGACATGTATTGAATGTCGAACCCAAATTTCTTCTGCGGCTAAAATGAAAAATGATGAAAAACGAAAAAATAATATAGTCAAAAATCAAGAAACTGCGGTTGCACCTGAAATGCTTGTGGATTATATACTTGAAACTTTTCCAACTAACTATGATCTGGATAATTATTTATTTGAAACAAGGTTTTTTATGACATTAGATCCATTAATAAATTATATTGATACGAATTCAGAGAATCAAGATAAGAAAATTGCTCAGATTTTAATCAATTGTATTTCTAAAGCTGATCATTTCTTTTGGATTTATCACAAATGTGAACCAATAAAGAATGCAATATCATTTGTTTATTATTGTAACAGTAGAGAAGAACTAAAAAATAAAAGACCGCATATTGATAATGTGTTGAAACAACGTGATTCAACTGCTCGAATACATTGTCATGATTGTGGAGGTACAATTCAGATGAATATTGACTGAACAAATAATTTAATTACAATTAATATCTACCATTACCTTCACTTACCACCTGAAGCAATGGATGTTACACCACAAGTACGTGAATATATTGCCAAGAATCACTTATTGACAGTTCCACAACTCTATGAAAATATCAAAGAAGAAAAAATTGATGGGTTCTTACATCTTACTCGGCATCAAGTATACTACTGGTTCAAAAAAATTTCTATAAATGAATATAAATTGGCAGATAATCAATTAGAATCGGCCCAACAATATTTAAATAATCGTTTAGATTTTAAAGTTCTTTTTCAGGATGGTCATTCATTAGCTTTTTTAACACCATTACTATTTATATTACCGAAACATGTTACAAATACAGTTGTCGTTGATGCTACATATGGAACAAATCGATCAAAATTTGAGTTATACAGAGTTCTTGGGACCATCGATGGTTCTGGATTTCCACTGTCTTACTTTTTTTTAGAACCAAAAAGTCCACAAGGCAGAACACAAGCATTAATAAAATAGTTTGATCATTTGAAAGAAAATAGAATACAAAAAGTTAGGACTTTTTTAACTGATAAGGATCGTAGTCAAATTACAGCAATTAATAAAATTTGGGCTGATGCGAAAGTCCAATTATGTTATTGGCATGCGATACGGGCTATTAAAAAAAAGCTATCAAGTACTGGGATTACATATAATTTTTATAATGCAAATGAAGCATACAAACTATGTTCATTTATTAATCCAAGCTGGCAACCCGTTCATGCATTTGTTGATAATGACAAAAATAAAGTTTTTTGTCAAAAAAATTTTCACGAAAATATTCTTTAAATGTTTTGTATCTATTTTTCAAAATACCCAATGATTCCTATAGAAAATTTAGGATTTTTAAATACTAAAAAAATTTGGGTTGCTAGCGTCAAAGAACAATTCGATTATTGCTATCAATATAATCTTGCTCACGTGTGGGCATATTTGTATACAGAATGGTACTGCCCTGAAATGTGAAAACTCTGGGCACATGTAGCAAGTCTGAAAATTAATATATTACGAAGTACTATGGCTATCAAAAGCCATTGGTGGGTTTTAAAGCACGATTTTTTTTCAAACTTTAATAATGCACGGCTAGACTTGATTATTTATATTATTGTTTCTAAAGTTATTCCTTGTCAAGCTGACCGATTGCAATTATTACATGATGGACGGTGTATGCCAAAGTGGCGTGAAGAATTCTTGGTTGAATGGAAAAAACTATCAAATAAAATAATTACTAATAATCCTAATCGTATTACAGATCCTTCACGTTGGATTTGCTCATGTCCAAGTTTTCTTCTAAACCAGTTTTATATTTGTAAGCACTTAATGCAAATACGTAATCCTGTAGAATTTGGATTTTTTAAGAAAGTAAGATTTGATATAGGTTTTATTTTTTGATATTAT